GCTCGTCATTTTTAATTTTTAGAATTGTAAATATTGATTGCTAATAATTCATTCTTGACCAGACAAAGCCATAACAGGCATCGCTTTGATACAGGCAATGCCATCTTTGCATATAGCGTCACTTAAAAATACGCTTACAGTCCCTTTAAATTTGATGTTAATCTATTCATATAAATCTTCTTCAAATAGTTTTTTTCCTGTAAGTCCAATTTGGTCTACTAAAATTGATTTACAAAACTTTTTTTTCCTTTGAAAGTTGTTCCGATTTTTAAGCTCTATGCAAATCTGGTTGACGCACTACAGATTAAAAAAATTATTTGATAACTTTTATACCAAACCTCATTCTAGTTCTTCTAGTAGATTAAGCAAAGGATGTATGGTGTCTAAAACTATTTAATCAAGTGGTGCAATAAACATAAGAAATGCTTTAAGCAGTCTATGTTTCTGCATTTACAATCAACTAGTAACTACATAGATGAATGTAAAATAAAGTCTGCACTGTGCAGATTAACTGGACGACATTAAGTATGTTATTTAGGTTTTTTTAAAAATTTAATTTCTTAATTTAATTCTTTTTAACATTTGTTTACAATTTAAATTTAATCTCCTTTCCATTGCTCATAATAGTTTAGGTTTATTCTTTATTTAAATTTCGTTTACATTTTTTTCTCTGTTACTTTCTCCCTCATTCCTCCCTCATATTTTCCATATTTTACTCTTTCCTTCGTTATCTTTCGCTCATCTTTTCCTCATTCCTCCCCCATCCCTTCCTCATCCCTCCCTCATCTTTTCAATATTTTACTCATACCTCCCTCATCTTTTTCTCATTCTTCCCTCATATTTCCTTCATCCCTCCCTCATCTTTCCCTCATTCCTCCCTCATCTTTTCCTCATCCCTCCGTCATCTTTTCCTCATTCCTCCCTCATCGCTTCCTCATTCCTCCACCATCTATCCCTCATCTCTTTCTTATCCCTCCCTTATCACTCCCTCATCCCTCCCTCATCCCTACCTCATCCCTCCCTCA